ATCGTTCCAAGTAAAGTATATTTTCTAAAAAGCAAAAGAAGCTGGTAACGAATGACGTGTACCAAAGGAAGAGATTCTTGATGTATTATTACTGAGGTGTTTCGGAGATATTTTTTTTTTGAACATTAAAGTTTATTGAACGATTATTGTAAAAAACTGGAATGTATAGATTTTATACAAATGAGTGTAGATTTCATTTCCATTGAAGAGGGTGCATAAAATATATATGGGACGGTTAATTTAATGTATATTATGTCTTTGAACGTTAAAATAATGTTTTTGTACCTCTACCGTTAACAAAATAACATGCATTTATGAACTCAATTTCGTGGAAATACCATCAAGAAACCTTTTTAATGGACTACGTCACTATAGAATACTGCTAAAAAAAAAAAACTTGTGATAAAACAGAATATTTAATTGTTTTAAACCTACTCGTTGATTGTTAATAATATGTAGACTTTTGAATATAAATATTATTAAATTAAACGAAACCAATTTGTGTGATAAATGTATTATACAATTCCAATTTAAAAATAAAGTTATATTCACAAAATTAAACTAAAAGTGATAAAACGAAAATGTTGATACTAAAATGTATTAATTGCATCTGTTCAATATTAGTTAGTTATTTTTTAACAATTAATTTGTTTTAAACAAACAAAAAATGTAAAAAATCAGACTTTTTATAATCAATAGATTAAAATAATAGTATTGTATATTTTATAAACAATATAAAAACATAAAAAATGAACAAATTTATGAATGTCTTAATATGATAAAAGAGTATAATATTCGAATGCTATGATGGTCGGTCAATTCCGTTTTTATCTCATAGTTTTTATGTTGCGAATAGCGAGTCATCGTTATCGCGTACCAAGGGGCGTATGCAATAAATGTGTAAGCAATGGATTCGGAAGCCTTGCCGGAGATGTTTTGGCACAGCACCACATATTTTTACACCGTTTCATCTTCAAATAAGATCTTAACTGCAGACATTTTATTCATTTAATATCGAATTAAAATTCGATGAATTCGTATGAATTAACAATTAGGATTTATATAATATTCCTATTTATGATACGGAACTGATAATACTCAATGAGTGTCTTACCTTTTGTTGGTGCCATTCCCATCAGTAGCACCTGATTCAATAGGCGGAGAAGTAAAATAAACGCACAAAAAACTTCACATGTATAGGTACCTAATTTTCACTGTGGAAAAATGGCTAATCCTCACACCAGCATCGAAAAATGGACTGGTATTATAGCGAAAATTAAACCCTGTTCCAAAATAGAAGACACCAGATTTACGTAGAAAAACTGGTTTTGCCCATGGCCGCTTTGTGTCTTCTCTTTTGGAACATGGTATAGATATTTAATTTTCGCCAGTCCATTTTAGATGCTGGTATGATGATTAGCCATTTTTCCAGAGTGAAAATTAGGTTCCTACATGTGAAGATTTGTGTGCATTTATTCTACTTCTCCACCTATTGGATCAGGGGCTTACTGATTTTATTTTATTATCTGCACAGGATTTTTTTACCTTAACAGTATTGCCTTGTCATTAGCATAAGTGCCCATGTCCGGAAATGTTCGATGAAAAGAAATATAGGTCACAGGAATCAAAAAACATATTTTTTTTTGTTCCATTATAATATACAATCTAAAATAGAATGATAATAAACTACTATATATTTCATTGAAATATTTTAGAAAACTGGTTAGTAAAACTCTATTATTTTTATACGTCTATTTCCCTTGTTCCCTAAATGGTCTAATGGTAAACAATTGAATTTGGAATTTACCATTTTACGGGTGGTGAGGGGGGATATCTATTAATGATTTACTAACCAAGACTTCGGATAAAGAGTAGGTACTTGCCGTCAATAAACTATATTTATGATACCAATTAAAAGAAAATTATATTTCGCACTTATATATTATTTCTATTAAAAATCTATAGGTATACACCCAACAACCAAGTGTATAATATATAGCCTATCTAAAAGTAAAATGTACTTTATCAAAATATACCACTTAAATATCATTAAACACATTAAATTAAAGGGTAATATTATATAGTATAAATGTATGATAGCATATACCTACCAACATCTGTTATGTTGTGTCTGTAATATTTGAAGGGTTACGGGGAAAAACGATAATAGTCAATATTCCTAAAATGTTCAGTATTGCGGTTTTAAAGTGGGACTTTGGCCTTTTTTTCCTGTTATAGTAATATTTAAACCTGTATTATATCATTGACCGTGATATTTTTTCCATAACTCGATTCACGTGTCGATTCGTTATGAAACTAACTAAAAGGTACTATAATTATTTGATTTTTTTCTTTTTTTTGACTATGATCGTTTTTCCCCGTCACCCTTCATATATCTTCATATTCTAAGATATATTATTATACATATCAGAAATTGTTAAACCCATATGGACATCTCGATATTTTGAAGATATTATGAAATATAGTCAATTGGTTAGTGATTAAAGAAGGATATTTATTATATCATTTAGTATTTATAATCAATGGTTACACACAGAAAATTTAGTTAATAATTTTCACAACTTAAGCTATAATACTACGTATAAACTGGTATCTTATAGCAGTTGAAAATTTAGACAAAATACACTCTTAGATAATGTTAAAAATCGAAAAACAATAAGTAATGAAAATTCAATCTTATATCATTTATTGTTACAATCATCAGGGCTCAAAATCAAATCATCATTGAAATTGAACTGATATAATATTGTGTTATGATACAACCACAGTTTAATATTATAATAACATCATGTCATACAAAATAATAATAATAGTAATAATAATAATAATAATAACAATAATAATGTAGGTATAATATAATAAAATATAAAGAAAAATTAATTATTCTGATTTTAATTGAGCATAATAATATGATGACTAAACTGTTATTGAATGGCCTGTAAGCTGACAAAAAAAAAATCAAGTTATACACAACAGATAAATGATTATCCTTTCCATTGGTCTGTTCAATATAAATTAAAGCAAAATATGATTCCACACATTTGTTAGACATAATTTTCTTCCATTTATTCCTTCACTTAGACATATACCTACTTTAAATTCTAACATTTACATGTTTACATACACTTAATATTAAATTCGCCCAATTTGAAAGTATTTATTTTTTCTCCGGTTGTAGTGGCGATATGTTTTAAGAAAAACAATTTTAAAGTAATATTTTGTGACGTAGATTTAAATTTTTATAATAGGGAACGGTATTGATCATTTCTTTAATATTTCTTTATGTTTTTTTTTAATTGTATTAAATAGTTTTATTTTTTTTAGAAATATTTGTATGGTCCAACATAAGGTACATACGTCATAATAATATTATGTTAAACACTTAAAAATATGAAAAGTGTAATAGAAATTATTTTGCCTTTGATGTCAAACTCTTGTTCTCATTTAACTTTAAAAACCGAAGTACTTAAATCATACCTAGGTTTTACCATGATTAGAATTTATAGATTTACAAAATAATAATTGATTTGGTTTTGCAAGAACATGATGAAAGTACTTTTTCAATTATAAAGCTCGCAGTAAACCATTTATTTATGTAACGCAGTTCTGAACTAAGTTAAGCTGTTTGTAGATTAAATGAGCATAAAATTAATGTTATTGAGTTTATATTTGTTGGAATTGGAAAATCATTATAAAGAAAAAAAAATTTATATTTATTTTAAATAGAGAAAATTGTTTTCAATTAATTTTGTTTTATAAAAATAAACAGACTAGGTATTGGTCAACACGTCTGATTAGGTATTATAATTGATCCTTAGAACTAACGCATGTTAGTTGCATATTTAGCATATAATATAATATTATATATTATATTAATATACACTTTTTTAATGTAAAAATATATATTTTATATCACGGCGATTTACGTATGCAATTTCGTAACTTATATGATTAGGACGTCTTACAACTTATAATTTATTGGCTTATTATAATTTTTAATGAACAAGGTTATAGTCTGTTACAGTTAACAATTTAAGTATAATATCACAATCTTATTTTCGTCTATGATAAAGGCAGGTACTGATAAGGTCTATTGTGATTTTAATTTTTACTATTGTATTCAAAATGTATTTATAGACTATAGTATACCTATATAGTTCAAGTTTTTCACAAAATAAAACAACAATATTCGTACACTTTTAAATTATAATAATTTATATCTTATATTAATGAATGCGTACACTACGTAAACACTTTTAGGTAACTTTCACTACCATAAACGATTTTTATAAGCCATAATTATTTTAATACCATTAGTCGGTCCAAACCTCGCATTGTCGAAAATAAAAAAATATTTTTAATGATTTAAGTATAATTTTAGTCTGGATACTTATATTTTATCGTCATATAATTATTTACAATTTATACATCATTTATTATTATTAATTTTTATTGCTGTAATTTCATAATGTGTGTTTCTTTGACAAAAATAATTATAATTTACACTTTTTGTTGTTACCATAGCAAGGAGTGTGTATTCCGTTTGAGAAATAAGTCTTTATATTATAATTGTATAATTGTACGTTATTGGGTAGAATGGTAGATAGATACATTAAATATCCACCACAGAAACTGTGAAGGAATAAAGGCTTATATATTTCTCAGAGGCAAAATAATTTCGTGTCTCGCATCACAACTTTATGGAGAAACGCTCCGTCAGTAAATAATAACAATATATAATGAAGAGACAATGAACCTTAATACAAAGTCTAACACTATTCCGAAATCACGATTTTGCACTATTATTGGGTCTTTTAAATTAATATAGTGGTGAGGAAACGTCACAATTCTATGTGAAACACATTGTTTTTGGAACTTTGCAGGTTTTGCTATATAACGTCCATTCGAGTTGGTAGGTTTTTTGTTTTTGTATAAAAACGTAATGACTATATTTTATAGAGAAAGTTTATTTTACTCACGTGTGACTGTATTAAGTTCAGTTTGTTGATGGAGTTGGGGATTTTTGACGGGGTAGTAAATGCATTTCCTGAAATGACTGATGGTGCGGTGGATGTATATTGGAATGAAGTGTCTTGGAGGCGATCCGAAATAATTGTGTCCTGACCGTCATGGGTCTTAAAAAAAAAAAATGGAATAACATAAATATTAAAACAAACTTTTACATTATACTTAGAATTATAATTAGTATTATACTTTTATACTTTTTTATAGAGCAATATAATTTAAATATTTTATATCTATAAAAAAAAAAAATGTTTTCTAAGTGACAATTAATAAATTGCTAGAGAGTCAAGACAAAGATCAGTGCAGTCTTAACTTTTAAGCCGCACATAAACTAAAAAGTCGCTCTAACGAATAATACAATTCTCAACTAACTGTCTGATTTATTGATGTATTAATTCAACCACATTTTCTTGTTAAGTAATAATGGAATAATAAGCAAAATGAAAATTAATATATTTTGTGTAATAAACAAAATCATATTTTTTTTGATAAATTTCGAATTAAATACAAATATAAAAATCATATGCATTTTAATTTTAATGAGTACATATTTCATACATCATAATATCATATTATCATATGTATGCACAATAGTTTGAACTCTTAATAATAATATGTACGTAGGTATAGTTTTACTTAAGAATTAGATATTTTTATGTTATTACATCACTAATGATGATCGTGTTTTGGCCAATGTAATTTAAACGGGACTAACTGAGTAAATTAATGTACTGAATGGTAATATAATAGATTTTGTAAAACTATTTCAATTAGTTAGGTTTGGTATAATTTGGTATTATAAAAGTGTATAGCAAACAAACAAAATAAATAATATACTTTATTCAATATATATTGTTATGAAATAAGTTTGATAAATACCTATTGGTATTCTAAATATGTTGAGATATCTTTTAAAATATATTATACTGAATTCGGGAACTAAGTTACGTCATGTACTATTTGTTCACAGAAAAAGTGCATATACCTAAATAAAGTTGCAAAACAAATAATTTGAATAAATGTCTTAACTTTCCCCTTGTACTTATTTGACTCTAAATATTATCGAATATTAGGGAATTTATTACTAAACATATCCGTATAATTTAAGCCCCTACAACATAATATCTTTTGTATATTATTCTCGTAGGTTCTAAGTTTTTAATCAAACATCTTAAACATTATAAACTTAAAACATTGTTCGATCTATATCCATTTCAAATAAATCGTGAGTTTTAAAATTATATTACCATTTGAGGGAAAAAATACCACGGTTACTAACTTGTATATATCACAAGCGTTCGAGTAAATAATATATATAGCTGGATAACCATTGGACACGAAATATTATATATTATGTTACGACTTTATGTCCACCGGTAGAAAACACGATTATATTTGGTCCGTTTGTGTTCTGTTTCCAATGGGCAAGTATTATATTAAATTTAATATTATTTTCCGCCTCCGTCGCTGCTGACAGCTATTAATTTCGAGTAGTGGCAGATTTCTTTTGGGTTTATTGTATTTGCTCGATAGCGTGGAAAAATTAATACGACTAGGAACGATAAGAGTCGGCTGCGTCTAAGTCCCATCCTAAAAGTTTCGGCTGAGGACAGGGTTCACTATTATTTGAAATGGTGCGATAGATGGCAATCGAGGGCTAGGTTAAAACCCGGACGACGTACCTACCTATTTAAATTTGCCTTGTTATATGCAGTTCATAAAATATTAGTCCACCAGTGTAAATATTTTATTAGTTAAAAACTATTTCAATTTAAAAAAAATATCCCAAAACTCAAAGACAAAAACAATATACTAAGAACAGTACAGTCTGTTTTAACTTTCAATTATAAAATCAAAAATAATTGACAATTAATAACCATCTACTCTATAATATTTATTTAACAAGCAATAATTCTTGAAAATAATAAAACACGATGATTATGTAACATTAAATGTAAATATAAATTTTTATTCACAATAAAATATTGTAAAAACAAATATCGAAAATTCGAGCAGTGTAAGTGGTTTATCCGCATCATTTTTACTTCCAAAAAGTATTCAATTTTCGACCTATGGATGATATTTTTCGTACCTCAGCGTTATTAAAGAAAATAATACCAGAATAAATTGTAAAATCAGTAGAAATGGAAAATTGGTTAAAAATATATTGGTAACCAAATTATGTGTACCAATCAATATCTATATAACATGTAATATATTATGCCTCAATACGTGATTTAATATCTGCATAATAATATCATTAATGGTCGTCGGTCATATACCTACGTCCCACATTAATACATCATACACTGTATTGTTGAAATGGAATTAATAATAATAATGGAATCTAAAATTGAAATAAATAATCTAAAATAGAAAATAAGTACACCATTCCCAATGAATTAATTAATAATAAACAATAATATAATATTTTTTAAATTAAATTAATCAAATTTTTTATAAGTTAGGTTATATTACATTATTGAGTAAATTAAATATTTTTAAGTATGTTATAACTGTTATTATATTTTTGTCGATATGAATATATTAAAATGTATAAATCCATGAACAAAATAGCTCTCGTTTTCTAAGCGAATAGCTCAAATTTAAAAAAAAAATCAGAAATAGGTACCGTGAATAGTTTGGTCATCACATGTATTAAGTGATCAGGTCACCGCCAAAATCTGTACAATGGAAGTGACTTTCGTGTTGTTTATAGGTTTGTTAACGTATACAAATAAAGTAACTTCTCTTCTAGAAGATATCAAATAATTGTAATCATATTATATTGATATACAACATAATATGAATTGTCGATAACGATGTATTATGATATAGTATTATCATTATTCGTCGAAACTCGGAAACCACCGATACACTATCAGCGAAAAAGAGTACCTATATAGATGTCCCGCCATCGCCATCTCCTTCTCCGACGATAATAATATGATAATAAGAGTATATAATATTATATGATATTACCTAAGCATATACATTTCGAGTCGTAAATTAATTTTACAGGAGCGACGTGAAAAGCGTCGGCGGTGACGGTGGCGGGAGAGAAGGCGCATTAATATAATATTACTATTATATCATGCACGAGGCAATAATATGTTACGCGCGCCCCGTCGGAGTGACAACAAACGTATCGTTTCGATTAATTCGAGTAAAACCGATGTGAGACCGCCGCCGCCGCCGCCATGCCAGCCGAGGGATGTTTGATTTATCGGTCGGCCTCCTGCAGGATTATCCTGCCAGCCGACCGTGCAGTGACGCGTCCTGCTAGCGTACCACTCGCTTTCTTTCCGGGGGCTTTGCCACCCGATGTCACCTCCACCGTCCCTGCAGCACTGCCCTACAGCACTACCCTGCACCACTACCCTACAACACTACCCTGCAGAACTACCCTACAACACTACCCTGCAGAACTACCCTACAGTCTGTATATGAAATAATATTATTACCGTCGTCGTCTGGACGGTGGCCAAACCACTGCAGCGACCGTTTAAGGGATTAACCTCGAGAGAAAAACCGATGCGGACCTGCTGCAGTAGACGGAAGACGATATAATCGCCCGCTCGACATCGCCAACCGTATATGTGGTTGCCCATTTAACGGTGGCGTAGGTATATAAACCTAGGCGATCATATTTTTTTGAAATCGTCAGTTATTGTATCCATTACTGCCGGACAGACCGAATACGATTCGACGACATAACGATATAGTACGTTTACTGTTTACCTTTACGTTTATTGAGCTTAAAAGTGTATGTACAGCGGATTTTCATCGTATGGTGCCCAAACCTAAACAAGATTAAATTACAATATATACAAATATACAATACAACCGTATACTATTCAACTATTGAGTTATTGTGTAAGGTATTTGAAATCAATGTGATAAATCAAACACCGATCGGATTCGTTGTAGGCAGATAACGCTAAGACACATCGACAGAGACAAATATTTTTTACTATACTCAGTAATGAGCAATTCATTTGTGTACATGCACGACCATATTGTAAATTTAATCTAAATTTCGCTTTCACTATCCGATTCAAAACTTGGTGCGCCGTGCCAAAATGGTACCGTCTGCATCTATAAAAGTATACTGAATATCCGAAATCGTTCAAAAAGGTCTGAATTTGTTGCCTGGTCATTACAACGGTCGTTACATAGTACATCCGAATTGGTTCCTGGTTTTTATATGGATTTTATAATATAGTATAAGGACACTGTCTACATTTGGTAGGCACCTACATGGTTAAACATGTTCATACATATTTTGTCTTCTAATTTTATTTCAAATTTTTTTGTAATTTGTAATGTTTATATAGGTCCCCGTAAATGGTGGAAATATTATTAGATAGCCCAAATAATAATGCTTTATTTTGATTTTTCTTTTCCAAAAATCAGATTAACAAAGAAGTGTTTGAATTTTGCAATTTTTTTTTGAAAACTCCTAGTGGATACCATTTTTTATGCATCCTTCATTCGTTTTTATGTTTCTCCATTAACCATCGACGTTATTCGTTAGTTTTCGTAATGCAACTATATATTTATATTATAATATTGTATGTTCATTGAGCAGCGAACGTGATCGAGGGTTGCAAGAAAGACGATGAACTCAGACCGGCATGGCAGTCGTGCGGTGCAGTCGTGTGCAAAAGTCGACTACCTAATCGAAGACATCGACAGTACGGGAAATGGTTTTGTGATTAGGCCAATTACGAACGGTGTAAGGTCGACGGTATACTGACCTTGGTTAGAAGATGATCGTCTCGGGAGACACGCGGTTACTGGATTTCGTGGTACCTATAACCATCCCGCGACATCGTCAAGTTGAGAACGACCACTTTGACAAATGGCTAATTGTATGTTCGCAGAATATGCTTAAAAGTTAAAAAATAAGTTTTATTTTTTATTAGAGGCCATCAAACTATATTTGAGCGGGAAGCCCCACTCAAAATAGTTATTTTACCGAATACTCATTGCAGGGGTCAGGGACATTACGCTTGGAGTCTTTAACCATCAATTGGCTACACAAAAATGTGTATAGTGTGCAAACTTTTAATTTTTTTTTTATAAAATTACTTTTTTAAATTATAAA